TTTTTTTTTTTTCAGTTTTTGTACTTGCATCAAATTATTTCTGTAGATTTGTCCACCATTACAGGAAACAGCCTTATAATCGGTTTAAAAAAAGAACAAGCATGCTTCCAGTTACTGGGTAAAGGTCTAAACACTGCTCAAAAGACGATTATATGAAAAAAATATTAACTGCGAAACCTCGCAGTTTTTAATATTTTTAACCTGGCTAGTTGCTAACTTGGATAGTGAAACATACACTGCAACACAAAAGATAAAAAACTGTAATTACCAGAACTGCTATGCGCCACCAAAAACTTTTACACCAATTACCTCATATTTGGAATTGACTATTTACAATTTTCAACAGTAAAGAACAATTTTCACGAAATACACCGTTTTCTAGTAACAAAATAAAAAGATCATCTTGCAGGCTCTTAACATTGAATATTTAATAATAAACAGCAACACTTCAAGATCTTTACAAATGCAGCAAGACTAAAACAGAAGCCGCATTTCCCACTACCTCAACTTTTTCTTTTTCTCCTCTACTTTACTTTATGCAGCTAAGTATGATTCCCCTCAGAACCTACGCGTAAATGACTTTCCAGAAAAACACAGTTGTTCAAAGGTGGCATAGAGAAGCTAACAAATGCTGGCCAGATTGCTGCGAAACCTATAAGCAGAAAGCAGTTTTGAAACATTATCAATTTAGACCTGTCAATACATAGCATTCAATCTTTAAGTACTTTACATACCCGCTATGTAACACCCATTGACGCTAAATATTTTCTAGAAAACTCTTTTGACTTAACAAACCGTAAACAGATTAAAGTAGCCAAATTGGCTAAGATGTCTCGCCATTCTGAAGAAATATAAATAGAACTGAACTTCTTTATTCTCTGTTTAGGTTGAGAGTAATACATAACCCCTACCCTCCAGGAACTCCTGCTTGCTATTAGAAGTGAACTACACCAAGTTCGAACCATAACCAACAGAGCCTTTCCAATCAAAATTCTGCAATACTCAAGCGTCGAAATAAAGCTTGCTAGTGGAGAACTTCATCAAGGACAACTCCCGTTAAACAAGAGCATAATGTGCAGTGTAAGAACGGAATACATTTTTCCAACTTCCTCCGA